AGCCTTCGACATACATTCATTTCTTTCCCAACTGACTGGTGCTTGTTTTATGAACAACATCCTCTGAAGCTATACTTCACATATAACTAAACTCACTCATCTGCATCTTACATTAGCATTTGTGTTTGTACTAAGTATTGTTGGTTTGGCACATGGCTTCAGTTCAACTATTCTAATTGCTGTAATCAGTAGTCCAAATGGGTTAGAACTAAGTCCACTAGTGACCTCATGAAACTTTACTCCTATATAATGTTTATATAGGATTAATGCCTTAAGCTACTCTACATTTATTTAGACGCTTTCTTTATATTGCCAGACTACCACAAAAGTAACCTTTCTTTAAAAACAGCTGTTCAAAAGGCATTTCAAAAGAATTTTATGTACCCTAAAATCTATATGGTTTAAGAAGATTTACCATGGTCAGAAAGAAGAATAATGTTAATGCAGTTGTGAAGATTCATTTGCTTAAGGCCATCCATCAACAATCCAACCACTTTGTCCACTCTCTCTAATGCAAGAATGACCTGAAAATTGAAAGTGAAGAGAGACAAAATAAGTAAGTTAACATGTAATTCAAAGAATGGTGGTTCCCAATGAATATTCTGCTGCCAACAGAAAGCATTCATCAGCCACATGGAGTAGGAGATGATTTCTCATCAGCTTTCCTTGTTCTGCAACACTTATCACCCCCCTTTAATTCTGCTTGATAGTTTGGGGAGTCTTAGAAGCAGCATAGCTAACTGATGCTTTCCATCAGCAGAGGAAGAACAGTTAGATATCACCCAATAGCTCTTTCATGTATTTCATGGTGGCTGGTGACTCAAGTGAAATTAATTGTCCCCACTGAGCTCCAAAAACTTCACTGGTCTATGTCAGTGTTTCTCAAACTTGGCAACTTTAAGATATGTGGACTTCATGGCTGGCTGGGGAATTCTGGAAGTTGGTCCAGACATCTTACAGTTGCCATGTTTGAGAAACATTGGTCTATGTCAAGGTAAGCAATTCCATTAATGATCATTCATTGACTCTGCAAAGCTGAGCCATAGTTCTATGGCTGAACTAAGAGACACAAAGAGTCTCTATAATAAAACTAAACAAACAAACAAAGCCTGGTAGTGATCTGCCCAGACATTGCAGAAAACGTTCTAAACTGAGATAGAGAAGAAGCAAGAATGTCTAAAAATTAGGCCAATCCTGACATGGGCCATCCTTCCCCAAAGTAGTTGTTATTTCAACCCATTTGACAAGCAACACATATTATTTTAATTTATTAAATATCTATCCTACTTTTCTACCTATACAATACTCATGGCACCTTACAGTGATTAAAAATGCAAATGATAAAATATAGGAATATAAAGAATAAAATTAAAATGAAGGCAAAATTAAAATCAATATCATTAGAATCAATTCAATCAGCAATTAAAAGCTTGGGGAAAGAGATGTGTTTTTGTCATTTTCCTAACTACTAGAAAAGTGATGGCCAAACACACTCCCTAGCCTGGGGATCACCTAGGAGAAAGCCCGTCCCACATACTAGATAGCCAAACTTCTGGCAGCAAGGGGGATCTTCCAAAGGGTCTAAGTAACTGATGATCTAAGTAACCAGGCAGGTTCAGAGCAGGAGAGAACAATGTTCATATTTTTATAGAAGTCCATTCTAAGAAGGAAGGGAAAAAAAAGATCTCACAGTGATGGTCTTCAATAATCTTTTTCTGACCTAGAGACCTAAATATGTGAAGAATTCTGCATGCGGCTGAATGTGCAGAAATAGTTTTTCTCCATATTTAGGGATAGCATTAGACTTCTCCTTTAAGAATTAATTTTCACTTAAAATTTGATGCATAAAGTTTGATCCAAGAATTAAGTCATCTATGCCTTTAAGTCATCTCTCTTTAAAATGCCAGGCTACCACCAGATGCTTTATCTCAATGCACATGCACACAATTTTCTATTAACTATTTGGGTCACTTACTTTTTTTTTAACATTTCTTAACTTTTAACCCTGTCAATGTTAATGTCTTTGGATGTCTGATTCTAATTATTTAATATGATGTAAATCTATTTGAAGTTCTCTTTAATAATTACTTTTGAAGACCTTGTCTGTGGTCTCCATTCTGAGAGTTGAATGCTGAGAATTCAGCATCAAAAAGATCCTTCATAGCTGTGTTCACTTTAAATACATATGGAACGTATACCCATTTAGATAATACCATATCATAACATTATACTCAAAGAACTGTGCATCATTTTTGATAACATATGAATAATTAAAGGGGTGTTTTATTTTAAATGAGGGGCTCATGTTATCTTTTAATCAGTTAGATTTGGTTTTTTAATGTTCTTATCCTTGATTTACTATGGAACTTTATGTAAAAGAAATGCAATTATAACATCCAGTTACTTACTTCACTGCTGATTGGTCCATATCTGTGTCCTGAGGAATCTGGTTCTTCTAAATACAGAGTGTAAAAGTGTGGTCTATATCAAACAGCATTAAAATTTAATATTTTACATATAAATTAAGAGAAGAGTGAAAATATTTAAATTCAGTAGATTTCATCAGAAACAACTGGGCATTAATAACAAGTCTTGTGGTGCTTTACATAAAAATGTATTCTATAATACACATATAGTTAGTACACATATGGATGTAGCGTGGTGACCAAAAGACTGAGTCCTGAATCAAGCAGCCCCTCACTAAATGGCCTTAAGCAAACCATACTTTCTCAACCTCGCCCACAATACAGGTAGTAACAATAATAATATCAATTTACTACAGTAGACATGAATGTTACAAGAATTTAGACCCGTGTTTCTCAACCTTGGCAACTTTAAGATGGGTGGACTTCAACTCCCAGAATTCCTCAGCC